ATGTTATGCTTGTGACAAAAAAATCAGAGTAATGGTTCATTATAGTTCTTGGTGCAATACATAGTTTAAAACAGACGAATGTGAAAAATAATCTTCGACAGTACTCTGACGTAACACGCAAACAATTGGCGTTCACACAGTAAGATGGAATCGGATACCAAGTTCAAAATCAGTACTGTTCATTACCTTTAGAAACATATTTTATAACTATCAAGTGTTATCAGTTCCATCGTTTTTGCATATTACTTTGCTGTGCACTCTTGAGAAATATGACCCGTGAAGGTCCGAGTTAGAATTGATCTTCAGTAACACATGCTTGTCGTAAGAGGCGACTAACGAGATCGGGTGGTCATACTCGCTGACTGGGTTGACACATGTCATCGGTTCCCAATTGAGTAGATCGATGTTCATGCTGTTGATCCCTGGATTGTCTGGTCCAGACTCGAGTATTTACAGACGGCGCAACATAGCTGGAATATTGCTGAGTGTGGCGTAAAACTAAACTCACTCACTAACGTTTGAAATATGATAACTACACATACTTACATGCAGAATCGTTGATCTGTTTACAACACTATTAAGTTTATTAATACCTCTTTGTTATCACTTGACTGTAAGTATTTTAATATAAGTCCAAAACATCTACTGCGTGTTGTTTGTTGATGGCTTAACTGATGACAATTCAACAACAGAAAAAGACAAGTGTGTCTACTTGCATATGTGTGTGAGTCTCCTAAAATTACCTCTGTAATAACGTAACGTGACGGGTGCATCTTTTCCGTGTCACACGCGACTGCGAACACATACATACACATAATTTCCGTGAGTGGCACTTAAGAAGTTGGGAAGTGCAATAATGACAAGTTCTTTTATTTGGCGAATTTGCAGCGTTTTGTAACAGATGCGCGTACGCTGTCGAGCTGGAATGGTACAATAACTGTACAAGAATCTGTATCGAAACGTCGCACTCACGAAAGGTGTCAATAAAATATGTCATTATTGCTTAAATTGTGACTTCTAAATCAGTACCAACGACCTTTAACTGTGATCTGATTGTGTTGTAATGATAGCCAATGGCAATACAAGTGATAAATAAGTAACACTATGGATATGCAAGTAGTAGAGAAGTAGTGGGCAAGTGCGTGCACCACGAGGAGAACAAATACAAGAGAGCGTCTTCTTAAAGGCCTACTTCTGTTACAGCGTACAGCGTGGTATTTGCACGACGACGGGTACATCATTTCCATGTTCGGCGAACACATACTTACACATTAGATCTTCCATAAACAAACAAACTGTAACCGTTGATGTACGGGTGTAGATATACTATGATACTTATTCACCATCACGATGTTTAGAAATTGCTTAAATGATTTCTTTGAGTGTCACCTTAGAAGTTGGGACGTGCAATAATAATATGGTTAACAAGTTCTTGTATTTGGCGAGTGCGACGTTTTGATGCAGATTCATGTGCGTTGTCGAGCTGGAATGGTACAGTGACTGTACAAAAATCTGTACTGAAACGTTGCATTTAAATCACACCGACCTCTAACTGATCTAATTGTGTTGAAATATTAGCCAATGACAATATAAGTGATACATAACTATTACACAATGGATATACAAGTGGTAGGGAAGCCGTGCACCATGAGGAGGATACAAGAGAGGGCGGTTCTAATATCCTACTTCACTCATGTACAAGTACCGATGTACGACGACTCATCGATATCTCAATATGTGCCGTCAAGCTAATCATGTTCATGTTCAAAGTCAGCGTTTTGCGGTTGACAGTCAAATCTGCCTATAAAGATAATGTGCACCAAACTGAACCACACATCCTCTTTGATGAGATTCACTCCATGAATACTATTACATGAACAGAGTATCGTGATTGCCGGTCACGTTGTAGCTATACAACGGGGCTTCACGCCCAATCTCACACTGACTCGGATGACATGTGAGAAACTGCCATTTACCTGCCCCATAAATGCGTCACTCGTTTCTTGTTCCCTCGATCTTTCAAGGGGTGCCGTCAAGCAAATCTTATACATATTCCATGTCAACGTTTTGTGATTGGTAGCCAGATCTGCCTATAAAGATAAGGTACACCAAATGTACCCACACATCCTCTGTGATGAGATTCACTCAGTATTTTGATTGACAGTCACATTATAGACTGGGCTTCACGCCAAAGCCATCACTGACTTGGTAACAAACAGTATGTGCAGTTAAAGGCTCTGTCGACAACATGGTGTTCTGACTTTGTGTGAAACCTTGCTGTTTGCTGGTGGATATGCCAAAAACTCCAATGACTGGCTGGTTCTGGTCAACTACGACAACTGAAAGACATCCTTGGACCAATTTCTCGCTTCATGGAATGAGACTGATAGGGGCACGGGTATGGGCAGCGGTGAGTATGTGGTAGCCGTTAGCCACCCAACACACAACGTTCATACGTTGTTAGTATTGTTTCCTGGTTTGCGTTCCAGCTTGTCAACCATTGCTTTGTCTAGACCTGTTTTACAAATTGTATACATTTTGCGGTAAATATAAACCACATAAAGACCCAGAACTATTTTAAATGGGTCAACTTTGAATCAGCACAATATAACACAGACAAGTCTAAAGTATTGAATAATACATTGAACAAACAATATGCAAGCTACAATGAATGACTATACAGATATCTAGTACAATGCATTTGAATCACAAATCTAAAATATTGGGTCACAAATATCAAATATTAACTCATCAGAGTCCTGACATTTACAGTGAGAACAGATATACTGATTTAAGGTTGCTTACAATGACAGCAGTTGAATAGACAAGCATGGTCGGTTTTGAAACGTTGATCAGTTTGATGATGGCAGACAGATGTGAATAAATCCAGTCGTGTGAAATTTCCGTGCACAACTCAACAGCCAGGCCAGGCTCCATCATTATTCTCTCATAACGAGTTGAGAATTTTCTCGAACACACGACATGATGAAAGCCAGAAGTCAAAGCAAATACTTGCCAAGGGAGGCAACTCTGAAGCACTATGAAAAAGTCGTGCCGCTACAAATACTATTGCCAATGAACATATATGAAGCGAAATGTGAGCCACAACCCACACTCAACATTGTCACCTCCAATAATTATCACTGATTTAATGTGTTATTAATTTTTTTGACAAAAACCCACTCTCATAACAATGTTTTTAGGTTACCCAGGTATACAAGGAGCACCTAGTACATTAGAAGGGGGATGAAATATAAGAGTTGCATTACCGAATGCCGATTGTCGAAATCTGCAAAAAACACCGAATATTAAAAATAATTCAGATAAAGGATTCGAATCCCGAATGTGAAAAAAATATTCAAACCCCGAAACCCGAACGTTAAAAAACTCAGATTTGAGGTTCAAATATCGAAAACTGTGGTTCGGTTGTTTATGTGCGTTTAAGTTACCCAGGTATACAACGAGCACCCAGTACATTAGATTGGGGATGAAATATAAGAGTTTAAATACCGAATGCCGAATGTCGAATCTGCAAAAATACCAAATATGAAAAAAATTCAGATTCGGTAATATCCCGAAACTTGAATGTTAAAAAACTCAGATTTGAGGTTCAAATATCGAAAGCTGTAGTTTGGTTGTTTATGTTTTTAAGTTATTCAGCCAGGTATACAACGAGCACCTAGTACATTAGAAGGGGGATGAAATATAAGTGTTTAAATACCGAATGCCGAGTGTCGAATCTGCAAAAATACCGAATATGAAAAGAAATCAGATTCGGGATTTGAATTCTACGGACATTTCTGAGTATACCCGAAACCGATGACCACAGCATCCTTGTTGCCAGATCAAGAGTAATGTCACAGTGCAGTGTTCAAAATGTGTCCTCTACAAACACATGACTCTAAAATCATCCCGCTCTGTATTAACTATGCACTGCTGTTCCTATGTACTACAGCCTGGACTTTCATCCAGAAAATCAACACATCATCGTGACAACATTGTCGTGACAATCGTCATAACCATCTCGTTCATGTTGTTTAACTTATAGAAATGGACTTTTAATCAAGACCATTAATTTTTAATTCAATTCATATGAAGCTTCACATTTCTTTCCACATATGTAAACATGTGCGCCAAATTTCATTGATATGTCTGTCAGCCTGTACCCTAAAACTTACATAAACTCCAGGTACGTCATTACCTTGACCTTTGTAAGGTATTACGTCCCACAATAAGCTACCTGCATTCTCCGCCAACAGCGTCAGAATGAACATCAGTAGTGTTAATTTCTAATGTGACAGAGCATTGAACATTGTGAAGAGGTTGCTATAGTGGAACATAACCGATCTGGCGGGTCTGGTGCGGCATGGAGGCTACGGCCACGTCAGTCAGATTGGTGTTGCGAATGTCGCCGCACGATGTGAAAACGATGAGGTGTTAGTTCAGTTATGACTGATTTAAACATGTTTACGCAACGAAAAACATACAATACATAACCTTTCACTGAGTGTAGATTGTGATGCACATAAAAACACCGGCACGCAAACACGCATACACACATGCACAGACGCATGAGATAATACATTTAGGTGTGTTCTTAGATAAAAAAATAAAATGTACGAGTGTTGATATGTTATGATAGTTATATTGTGCCACACTGTTTAGATATTACTTAACGTTTGGGATATAAATTAGGACAAGCGACCTTTAAACATGTTGTAAAATGTTAGACAATGATTATACAAGTACTTGACAACTGTTAGACAAGTGAAGTTAGACAAGTGGTAGACAAGTGTGACTACCATGAGGAGAAGGATACCAGAGAGGACCGGGATGATGACTTACTTCAGTTACAGCGGAGGTCCACTTCACTTGGTATTGTTTGTCAGTTCAATGTACAAGTACCACTATGCGTGTAATGCAGCCAGTGAACACCACAAGAATTATCATTGTGGGACTCGTATTCCTATTGCATATGCTGAGTGTTTTGACTGACAGTGAAGCTTGCCTATAAATATATAGTACTCCACACTCAAGCACACATTTACTTGGATGACATAGAGGCCGTGCACAAGAAGAGACTGTATACACACTATGGTGTTCCGACTGTGTCTGTGTGTAGTGTTGCTGGTGGCGTGTGGATATGCTAACATATCCGGCGACTACTGTCAGGTTCTGGACAACTACGACACTTTCAAGACATCCATGGATAACTTCCTGGCTTCCAGGGATGAAACTTGTGGGAACACGGACATGCGCAGTGGTGAGTACCGAGGAGGATAGGAAGTTAAGGCACTGTTGACTTTGAAGCCTTGCCGATACTCAGGCCTGTCTACCACGTGTTTTTCTGATCCAGATACACTCACCTCCAACATGTCATAATCTTTGTGTACTGCACAGTAAACCATAGAAAAACGTACCATTCCACGCTCTTTCGTATTTCTAAAACATAAAATACATGTTGCATTTGTGTTTTCTATGTATTTACGCACATGCTCTTTGAGTACAATTTTAAGGAGCCTCATATTCCTCTTGATGTGTTTCTTGATGAGCGTTACAACGTTCAATGTAAAACGCCATTCAGCTTTCTCGTATTCCAAACCTTAACATCCACTTCTCACGTCGATATCTATATGGTTTCTATGTTTTTAATGTAGCATCAACAACAGTTACTCATTTTGTAGCCCACGTTTGAACAAATCATTACTTAAAAATCCCTACCAATACCAAACCATTTGGGTAGGAGGTATTTTTTCTTGGAATATTAGATCCTGTTTCCGCCCAAACTGTCGTTTCAATCAAACGTGTATTTCACGCTTGTGATGCTAATTCGAGTAGGTTAGAAATATTGTTAAAATAATGAATACTTGAGGATACTGCGCCGATGATAATATTCAGTCAAGATACAACTTAAGAAAGATTGATTCCCTATTCAACGTAGTTGACATATGTTGATACTAATAGAGACATTAAATAAATCATACATTAACTACATTATCATTTTTTCCGAAATAATCCCGGATACACTTTATATTGAACAGATTGTAGGAGCATCCTGGATGAGTTTCCCGAAGCTGAGGACGGAGTTTACCGAATCAAACCGAACGATGGGAAGGGTTCATTTCTGGCCTACTGTGACATGACTCAACATGGCGGAGGATGGCTGGTAAGTTTCAGAAATATCTGTTGCAGGATAATTCTTCTTTCAATGTATAATGTTAATGTGTCATACATCTCAATATCAGCACTATGTGACATTGAATTTCAATGTTCAGGTGTTTCAAAGGCGACTGGACGGGTCAGAAGATTTCTATCGAACTTGGTTTGAATACATGGACGGATTTGGAAACCTCACCCGAGAATTCTGGCTTGGTGCGTATAAACATCAATTCTTCCTCAAAATCATCAATATTTGTTTATGCATGACATCTTACTCATTCCATCGTTTAAATGTCGAGTATATGACAACAAATGGAAAGGCGTGCGTCTATCATTAGTCTGTGTTAGTGATATCTTGGCATCTCATATTTTGTGTATCACAATTGGTATGTATGTGTCTGCAACTGATATGGAAAGAAACTATAGATATGGATGTATAAAAGAAATAAGTATCCAGTATGTGAGGGGGAAGAGATAGTCAAGTGATTGCGGAAAACAGACTTCGAAAAAGAAAGTTGCTGTAATAGATATAAAAGAAAGGAAACCATTCACGCAATAAGTATGCATGCACGCCTGTGTTGGTGTGTGTGTAGGGGTGTGAAAAGCCAGACCGTTTTTGTCGTCACGTTGTACACTTGGACTAGATTCCCCACATGGAACAATTGATAAAACGTAGCATGACCATTCTGGTGTTGCTGTAATACTGCTATACACAGTGTGTTTTGCTGTACTCGTTCACTTGCCTCATTGACACGAGCATGTCACTTTCTTAGCAATGATGGTTGAGTTTTGATATCATACAATGTGTGATTGGTGTCCCAAAGACTTCGGGATAATGTACGCAGTGGTCATATTTCAGGAAATGAGAAGATACATAGACTGACGAAACAGAAAACCTATGAACTGAGGATCGACCTGGTGAACAAATCAGGAGGCCAATTCTATGCCGAGTACAACAGTTTCCATCTGGGCAGCATGTCAGAGTTCTACACTCTGTTCATAGGGAACTACTCAGGAACAGCTGGTGAGTATGTTGGAAATATTAATTTGTGTTTGTGAACTTTATATAATCTTTCTATGCTCATTTAAGCATTGTTCCATTCAACTTCATGATCAGAATACTTCGACTGAAGGTATGTGATTCAAGGAAAGAAGGTATGTGATTCAAGGAGAGAAGAGAACATATGATCATATCGGTCAATTTCGGCAGAAATCCGTTTGTACACAGCACTCATTGGCATACTCTTCACCATTTGGCTCTTCACCATTTGGCTCTGACTCTTATGCAAGCACAAAGTGTTTTCAAACACTCAACCAGGACCAAACACTATGTTACAGTTCACAATGGAGTCTTAAAGTGTGTAATATGCTTGTGTCTGTGTATTTTAAGGAGATAAGATGCTGTATCACAACAACTACAGATTCAGTGCAAAGAATCTGGATCTGGACACATACTCCCTGAACTGTGCTGTGGAGCGTAAAGGGGCGTGGTGGTTCAAATCATGCTCAACCTCACACCTGAACAAACTGTACAGTATGGGACTTCGATGGGATGGTTTGTCAGGCCTAACATCTTCCTCCATGAAGATCCGACCTCTCAACTAAATGACTGCATGTTGCGTGTCGGTCTCACCGAATATCATATTTTCAAAGAACGTGAATGTTTCATGTAGTTTTCAAGAAACTATAAAAAATAATTAATAAAATTCTTCATGCCATACTATCTGTGTTCTTTAAAAGCGCGTGGTGGTTATTATCCTGCTACAACTCAGACCTAAATAAATGTACAGAAAGAGACCTTAGTAGGCTGGTTTGTTAGGCTTTGCATGTTCCTACATGAAGATCAGACCACCCATCTAAAACATGAATTCTTGTGTTACATGTTTGGTCACCATCGCAGCAATAAAGACATTTTTAGTTCCAATGAGGAGCATGAATATGATTTGTAATTTATCAGCAAACCATAAAGAACGTTTGTTTCATACCATACTGCATCTTTTACGTGTTATTCTTCGTAAATTGAAACAATGTGAAGAACGGGTCAAATGTTACAACTGGTCCTTGAGAAACATGGTTGAGAGGGTTCTGGCAATATATTAGGTATAATGCTATCGTTTCCTACTGTAGTCATATCTTCACTGCTAGAAATCTAACATCTCTTCCAGCTGATGATTTCTGTTCTTATGTTCAGATAAACAGATGTAGACAGACATATATACACTCACAGAGAAACAGGGAACTTAAATCTGTATATTTGGGAAAAGAACATTTCATATACTGTTCACATTGACCGATTAAAGATTCAATTCCAGTTTTTAAGGGGACGCACAGCATTCTCTGAAAGTGCATCAAGAGAAATGTTTCGTCTAACATCTTTCTCCATAAAGATCCAACCCGTGAAGGTCCGGGTTAGAATATTGATCTTCAGTAACCCATGCTTGTCGTAAGAGGCAACTACCAGGATCGGGTGTTCAGGCTCGCTGACTTGGTTGACACATATCTTCGGTTCCCAATTGCGCAGATCGATGCTCATACTGTTGATCCCTGGATTGTCTGGTCCAGACTCGATTATTTACAGACCGCCGCCATACAACGGGAATATTGCGTAAAACTAAACTTCACTCACCCATGAAGATCCGACCTCTCAACTAAATGACTGCATGTTGCGTGTCTCACCGAATATCACTATCTCAGCAATAGTATATTTTCAAAGAACATGTATGTTTTATGTAGTTTTAAAGAAACTATAAAAAATGAAATAAAAATGTATCTGCGTGGTGTGTGGTGGGTCAGATCCTGATACAACTCAGACCTGAATAAACTGTAAAGTAAGAGACCTAAATGGGCTGGTTTGTCAGGCTTTACCTATTCCTGGATGAAGATTAGACCACTCATCTAAATAATGATTCCTGGTGGCATGTTACATGTATGGTCTCCATCGCAGCGCAGCAAAACACACAGTTTTAGTTTCAAGAAGAACGTGGATATTTTTTGTAATTTATTATCAAACCGTAAAGAACATTTGTTTCATATCTTCCTCCATGTTTTACGTGTTCGTCATCTCATCTTAACAACACATTCATAAAGTGAAACCATGTTATGTCAAATATTCACTCTTCAATGCATTGTTAGTAGTGTTAAGGACAGGTCAAATGTTACAACTGGTCTCCTATATAATTGAAAAAGGAAAACGCGTTTATGTTTCAGAAACATGGCTGTGTGTGTGTTTGTGTGTGTTCTTGAGTTGTAATTACATAGATTTCTATCATTAAAAGAAAACAATATTTGTTTTTTCTGTAGTCACATCTTCACAGATAGAAATCCAACATCTCTACCAACTGATGATTTTTGATCTTATGTTCATAAGACATGTCCATCTTCAGGCAGCCATAAGATACACATCTTGACAAAATATTTTCTTTGAACAACGTCAGCTCAAAATACATCCACATGACTGAACCTGAATAGACCTTGATACGCCACCAGTTGTACTTATAGATTTATAAATAGTGAGTGAGTGAGTTAAGATTTATAGTCACTTTGGCAATATTTCGGCCATAACGTGACTACAATACGTCATATTTAAATGATTTATAATGTTATATCTTAAACGCTGTCTGCAAAGGACAGTTAAAGAACTAGAATATCACAGATAAATATTGAAACCTAGCATGTGACTAAAAAGTATACACTATTTAGGACATTACAGCATGGGAATGGGTTGTAGATCGCCAGGAACTGAAGGTAGATCACCATGCTAGGGACCATGGGGACTTACAGTGCCTTTGCTACCTGCATGGCCCCTAGCTGGATTTACACCATCCCCCCAGCCGCTGGCGATGTAAGGGAAATTTAGCCATAATAACAAACATTCTACGTTTAAAAGGATGGTTGAGCTAAATTCTCAGGGAGACAATACTTTTTAGATACTTTAACCGGCTTTGAGCATCATCCTTCCCTATTGGCTACAAATAGTTTTAAAAAATGCACGTGTATAAAGAGTTGTACAGCCCAGCTTGGTGTATTGATACGAACAAATAGAAAAGGTATCACCGTAAAATAATGGAAAACACTTTCACTGCAAACTAGGAACTATAGAAGAGTGTGCCACTGTGAGTGAGTGAATATTCTTTTATGTCTTACCAGTTTTATGTCTCCGCTACAATTTGTGATACTGAGCTTTGTTTTTATCAGTAATTGAATGGACACCTCCTAATTTCAATCTATAATTTCACGAAATATGCTGGCACGGACATTTCTGAGCATACATGAACCCGATGACCACAACATCCTTGTTGTCAGACTGATGTCACAGTGCAGTGTTTCAAATGTGTGTTTTGAAACTCTATTATAAAACACGGCATGTGGTATTATACGTTTTTCAGGTTTCCTGCACTCTATTCTAAAACTAGCCCCAAAGCACATATCAGTAGTGGTGTGGCCTGACAGCTTTCAGGGAGTGTTGAACGTGTTGATTCTTTCATCACAGATACTAGGCAATGTATTAAGGGTGGCCCCGTTTTTTGTAACATAAACGGGTCATATTCTCTGACCATTATCATCCAATGGACGTTGTGAGGAACTATGTGGTTTACTATATAAACTATACTATATTACTTAGGGTTTACTATGTGGTTTACTATATACACTATACACTATACTATATTCCTTAGGGTTTACTATATAGTTCACTATAGACGCTATACGCTATATTATATTACGTAGGGTTTACTATGTGGTTTACTATATACACTATACAATATACTATATGGCTTAGGGTTTACTATATCGTTTACTATATACACTATACATTATACTATATTACTTAGGGTTTACTTTGTGGTTTACTATATACACTGTGCACTATACTATATTACTTAGGGTTTACTATGTGGTTTCCTATATACACTATACACTATGCTATATTATTAAGGGTTTCCTATGTGGTTTACTATATACACTATACACTATACTATTTTACTTACGGTTTACTATGTGGTTTACTATATACACTATACACTATACTATATTACTTAGAGTTTACTGTGTGGTTTACTATATACACTATACTATATTACTTAGGGTTTACTATATGGTTTACTATATACATTATACACTATACTATATTACTTAGAGTTTACTATATAGTTTACACTATATTATATTACTTAGGGTTTACTATGTGGTTTACTATATACACTATACTATATTACTTAGGGTTTACTACATAGTTTACTATATACACTATACACAATACTATATTACTTAGGGTTTACTATGTGGTTTTGCTATATACTCTATACGCTATACGTTATTACGTAGGGTTTACTATGAGGTTTACACTATACACTATACTATATTATTTAGGGTTTACTATGTGGTTTACTATATACACTATACTATATTACTTAGGGTTTACTATATAGTTTACTATATACACTATACTATATTATTTAGGGTTTACTATGTGGTTTACTATATACACTATACTCTATTACTTAGGGTTTACTATATGGTTTACTATATACACTATACACTGTACTATATTACTTAGAGTTTACTATATAGTTTACTATAGACACTATACGCTATACTATATTTGTAGGGTTTACTATGTGGTTTACTATATACACTATACTATATTATTTAGGGTTTACTATATAGTTTACTATATACACTGTACACTATACTATATTACTTAGGGTTTATTATGTGGCTTACTATATACACTATACACTATACTATATTACTTAGGGTTTACTATGTGGTTTACTATATACACTAAACAATATACTATATGACATATGGTTTACTTTATGGTTTACTATATACACTCAACACTATACATTATACACTATACTATATTACTTAGGGTTTACTATGTGGTTTTGCTATATACACTATACGCTATACTATATTACTTAGGGTTTACTATGTGGTTTACTATATACACTATACACTATACTATATTATTTAGGGTTTACTATGTGATTTACTATATACACTATACACTATACTATGTTACTTAGGGTTTACTATTTAGTTTACTATATACACTATACTATATTACTTAGGGTTTACTATGTGGTTTACAATATGCACTATACTATATTACTTAGGGTTTACTATATAGTTTACTCTATACACTATACACTATACTATATTATTTAGGGTTTACTATGTGGTTTTGCTATATACACTATACGCTATACTATATTACTTAGGGTTTACTATGTGGTTTACTATATACACTGTACACTATACTATATTACTTAGGGTTTACTATGTGGTTTACTATATACACTATACTATATTACTTAGGGTTTACTATACAGTTTACTCTATACACTATACACTATACTATATTACTCAGGGTTTACTATGTGGTTTTGCTATATACACTATACGCTATATATTACATTACTTAGGGTTTACTATGTGGTTTACTATACATACTGTACACTATACTATATTACTTAGGGTTTACTATATGGTTTACTATATACACTGTACACTATACTATATCACTTAGAGTTTACTATATAGTTTATACTATATTATATTACTTAGGGTTTACTATGTGGTTTACTACATACACTATACTATATTACTTAGGGTTTACTACATAGTTTACTATATTCACTATACACAATACTATATTACTTAGGGTTTACTATGTGGTTTTGCTATATACACTATACGCTATACTATATTACGTAG